TTCTTTAATCAAGATTACACATTTTATCTTCCATGATCTTCTCTATCTCCTGCTTGGTCCAGAAACATTCCTTTATCCATGTATCTGATAACTTATTTTTCCTTTTTTTTTTTACTTAATTTGCTTAATTATCATCCTTTATGCATAAAACACAAACCCACTTTGAACATGCATTGGTATATGGTGTCAGTTGTTGCTCTCTGCCTACTTTCTGACAAACTGCTTCTAATCTTCTCAGCAGTCTTAGGAAATGGCAAGTTCTTGCTCCCTGAGTTTGGATGTTGGGGTTTGTCAAACATTAGATTGCTCTGATCAGTTCCTAGTATGTATTATATACCTATTTCACCTAACTGGTGCAACAGTTTATTTCTTAGCCAGTCCCAGATTGTTTTATGATTACTTCTTTACAACATAGCTTGAAATACTGTACTGCTAGACCACCATTTTTCAGTTTTTTATTGATTCCATTGATATCCTTACCATTTTGTGCTACTTGAAAATTTTTTATTAGTTTTCGTAGCTGTATAAAAAAACAAAAACAACTTCATTTCTAGTTTGAATTCCTAAATAATTGTACATAGAATTTTGATTTTTATATTTCCTCAATTTACTCATGAGATATCAATTTTACAAACTTGTTTAGATCTCCATTTTGTGAAAAGTCCCATTTCTTTTGGACCACCTAAATGGTACAGTGGACTGAACACTGAGCCTAGAATCAGGAAGATTTGAGTTCAAATGCAGTCTCAGTCACTTACTAACCATTTGAAGGAGGGGGAAAGAAGGGAAGAGCAAGCAGGATTTAGAACTCACAATCTTATACAAGTGAATGTTGAAAACTAAAATCAAACAAATAAACAAACATCCTGTGACATCCTGCCTTCTAGACCATTTTCCCTATGCATCAAATTTTTAATAGATTCTGACTTCAGTGTGAGTCTAGGGTATTATGTATCAACTTAAGAAGGCAACACTATCTCCATTAACTTAGATATGTCAAAAAAAAATAAGATAGATACGGCATCCTGGCATAAGATATATCATTGTGGCTGCATTCTGCCTTCCCCAGACTATATTTGGGCCATTGTATTCAATTTTGGGGACAGTGCTCAGGATGGACATTAATAAGCTCCTGAGTGGACAAATAGAAGAAATATTAAAATTAAAGAGAAGAACATGGCATGTTGCCTGAAAGAGATCCAGGAAGGAAAATTTATAGGAATATCATAGCCAAGTTTCAAAACTTCAAGGTAAAGCACAAAATATTACAAGAAATGAGGAAAAAAACAATTAAAATATGGAGCTTCAATAAAAAATTACACAAGACCTTGCACTACTATATTGAAGAACCATAGGTCTTAGGATACTACATATCATAGAGCAAAAGAACTGGTATTATGATCAAGGGTAATTTACCCAACAAAGTTAAGTATAATCCTGAATGAAAAAGATGAATACTTAATGAACTGAAAGATTTTCTGGTATTTGTGGGGGTTAAAAAGCAGAACTTAAGGGAAAATTTGACATATAAGATTCAGGGGAAATAAAAGGTAAACATTAAAGAACAATTATAAGGGATTCAATAAGGTCAAATATCTTGTTTCTTATATGTGAAAATACTATCATTACTCTTATGACTGTCATTATTATTTGGGTAGTTTAAAAGAAAAGCTTGAGCTGAACTGTGTATGATGGGGTGATTAAAAAAAGATAAACTATGCAGGAAGCTACAAAAAGGAGTAAGCATTTCATACAAATGAGGCATAAATTAAAAAAAAGATACAGAAGAAGCTAGTTGGGGGAGGGTAGATAGTGCTGAAACTTTATTCTCATCAGTAATGAGTTAAAGAGGGACATATAAATGTATAACTGCAAATAGATATATAAATAGATCTATATATCACTATACAAGTCTTCTAAATTCAGAAAGAAACAAGAGGGCAAAGGGATAGGGTACGGGGAGAGGATAAGGAAGGGACTTTTTGAAGGGTGAGTAGGTTAAGGAATAAGATGGCAAAGTATCAGATAGAAGTAAAGCAGATGAGTGAAGAGGGGTAGGGTAAATAGGGTCAGAAGGGTAGTGAGGATAGTGATCGTTGCTTTCAGGAAACACTATAAAATGAGAAAAAATGCACAAAGTTAAAATAAAGGGCAGTAAAAGAATTTATTATGTAAAAAATGCAGAAATAGTAATTATCATGTCAGAGAATGTTAAATATAAAAAAGACAATCAAAATAGAAAAAGAGGAAACTACATCAACAATTTAATTCAATATAATTTTAGACCATTTAAAATAATTAGGAGATGTAAGATACCTGAGACTATACTTGCCAAAATAGACACAGGAACTATATGAATATACACATAAACACTTTTTATACAAATAAAGTCAGATCTAAATAATGAATGTTGTATTTATTATTCATAAGTAGGTAAAGCCAATATAATGAAAAATGGCAGTATTACCTATCTAATCTACTTATTCAGGGTCATCCCAGTTAAATTACTAAAAATTATCTTATTGAGTTAGAAAAAATTAATAACAAAGTTTATTTGGAATAACAAAAGTCAGGAATTTCAAAGAAATCAGAAGAAATAAGAAGATGTAAAGGAAGCAGATTCAGTAATACGAGACCTTAAACTATAAGGTGAGAGCATTTCTGAAGTATAAAATGGATAACTTCAATTAGTTTAAATTATAACTTCTTGGTTTAAATAAAGCAGCGTATCCAGGAATAGATGGAATGCAGAAAATTGGGGAGATAGGAAAGTTTCATAGACAATCTCCCAAATAGAAATGACTGGGTTCAATTACTACTGTTGTGTAGGAAATTATGAACTGGTTAATTCAGGGGAAAAAAAAAAACATGGAAAGACTTGGACTTAGGAAGAAAAATTCTATCCAGTTTCAGAGAAAGAAATTGAGAAGTGAAAATATGCATAGGACAGTCTTACATATGTGTGTGTAAGTGTACATGTGTATGATCGTGTATGTTTACATCTATCAATCGATCTATATCTATTTTTAAATGTAGCCTTCTTTGTGGTGTGGGACTAGGGGCCAGGGAAAAATAAAGTAAAAATTGCACAGCAGAGAACAAGCAGAAACCTACAAAGAAGCAAAGTAACACTATGTGGCTTTGAAAACAATGTGTAGTATTTATTATATAAGGTTTTATGAGATGGAAATTTATGGTTTATATTGAATTGTCTCTTATCTACTGCCTACATGGCAATAATTTTTTCTCTTATAATTTTGTATTAAAAGTTAATAAAAAATAATAGGACATGTGAGTATTAGCTGAAGAATCCATCCTATGAGTGCAAAAACTAGGTTCATGGCGTCACAAAATTTTAAGTGAAATAGCACTTAAAGTTTATGCCATCAAACTTCTAAAATTCATAGATGAGTGGAAGTCAGATAATGTGAACTTACTCTGTCAAGTATCACAGGTCACAAGTAATTGACATTTATTTCAACCCAGGTTCTCTAACTGTACAGAATGGCCCAAAAGTCTGATTATTTTAAGTTTTTTAAAATTAAACCTACCTGAATATTGGGGGACCCCCTGTATAACCCATTGTTCTTTGCATTCTAACTCAAAAATAAAAAATAAAAAATCTTAGACTGAAGCAGGGGGAAGAGATTGAAGATTTCTTCAAGGATTTGAACAATTATTATAAAGAAGAGGGAATTAACTTAGTGTGTTTCACAAAGAAGACCAAAAGCTATGTCTGAAAGCCAGAGATAAGAAATTTAGGTTGTGATAAGGATGAACTTATTAATAGTAATAGAAATAAAAAAGGAGATTAATTCTTCTCTTGGACAGTGGGGCTCTCAAATATGTATTGTTTTCCTTAATAAAATGTAAGTTCAATGATGGCAAAAACTTTTTTTTAAAATTCACCTGTGTAGCCACAAGGCCTAGAGTAGTACTTGACATAAGCATTTTCTACATGTTCCTAACTGATTTAACCAGGGAAGGAAACTTTAAAAATAGTTAGACTGTTTACTATTGCAGTATATAATAAAATGGATTCTTTTATAGATATATTTTGTGTTAATCATTTAATAGGTGTATTTAATTAAATGATCCACTAAACTAGGATTTATTGGTGTTTGGTTGCTAAAAAAAACACTAACAACAAATCAAAAATCATTCTCTGACTGCATATTAAGAGAAATGCTTTTTTTTTCTCTCTAAAAAAGAAGAGAAGAATGAGGGAAAAGTTGAAAAAATCTAACACATATTTATTTGCTTCTTATAATACACTGGAATAATACATTACATTTGTCATTACAGAGAAAGCTTACATCATTTTTTAAAGAGTCTTTTCAAGGCAACTTTCACCTCTTTGTTCCTCAAGCTGTAGATCAAAGGGTTGATCAGGGGAATGATTAGAGTGTAAAACACAGAAGCCATTTTGTCTGTGTCAAAGGAATGGTTAGATTTGGGCTGCAGGTACATGAAGAGAAGTGTCCCATAGAATATAACCACCCCAGTGAGATGAGAGCCACAGGTGGAGAAGGCTTTGTGCCTGCCCTCAGAAGACTTAATCCTGAGGATGGTCACAAGAATGAACATATAAGAGAAAAGAATAATCAAGAGGGAAGAAACCAAATTAAGTGAGGCAAAGATCATAATGATTTGTTCAATCTCACTTGTGTCTGAGCATATAATAGACAATAGGGGAATAACATCACAGTAGAAGTGTCTTATTAGATTTGATTTACAGAAAGATGATTTAAAAAGCTTTATTGTAATCAGAAGATTTACCATTATACTATAGAGGTATGAGATAGTCATCAAAAGCCAACATACCCTGCCTGACATGATGAGTGTATAATGGAGGGGTTTACAGATAGCAACATAGCGGTCATAGGCCATGGCTGACAGGATAAAAAGCTCACTGGCAATGAATATCCCAAAGAAAATCAGCTGTACTACACATCCATTATTGGAAATGATATTTTTCTCTTCCATGAATCCAACTAGCATTTTTGGCCCTATAGCTGTGGAGTAACCAAGGTCAACAAATGCCAAATGCTTCAGGAAAAAGTACATGGGAGTTTTGAGATGAGAATCAACACTGGTCAGGATGATCAGTCCCAGGTTCCCCACAACTAT